TATATTATTTATTATAATAATGCTTGTTATTCACTTTATTTTCTTCCCACAGTTTATTAATATTATCGAAATTTTCTTATTGTATCATAGATAGTGTAGAATTCTAATTTTAAATGCTCTTTTCCCTCATTTTTCAACTTTTACTATTCACTAGAACTATTCAAATCTCTCCTCTTTATATAATAGTTTATCAATAATATCAATAATAAAATGAACTCTTGACTGTAATTCACTGAGTATGTTTCGATAAGAATTATGCCTAGTCCTCTTCGAGTGTGGTAAACCTGTCATGTGTTTGCAAGTCAGCTGAGGATTATCATTCAAGAAAGTTCTAATAATTTTCGGGATTTATACCGCACAAGTTTCAGGCATTAATTTGGTTCTGTTCACAATGACTGCGCGAGCACAATGACTGCCATTCACAATGGCCTACAATTTGTACAAGTGGGCCGCTCTATAGGTGAGTGGAGCGTGCAGCTCTGAATCGCTGGATTAGCGGTCTAACAATATTGTTCATTACACCAAGCCAAGTAAAATCGGCTTAGAATCAACTGCCAACTGGCAGCCCGCCGCTGTCTGCTGTGCACTGTCCACTGTCCACTGTCCACTGTCCGTCCGGCATTGCCCGGCTCTGAACAATTCCCAATGCAGTCGCGGCTGCATTCATTTCCCAGGCGCTTTGATTTCTATTAGCCATTGTGCGGACGCGAATGGGGATTGGGATGCGCTGTAGCTGTGGCTGTGGCTGTGGCTGTGCCTGAGTGTCGCTGTGGATCTGTGGGTCTATGGGTCTGGGGGACGACACGCCCACACCGCGCGCTGTCATTAATGGGGCGCTGCTTTTGTGGCTAACCGAAATAAATGGGCGGCGGCATTGGCCATTGTGCATTGGGGCTTAGAAGCGCGTCTTTGTTGACTGCTCATAAATAAGGCTTAAGAATTTGGGGATGTCAGCTGGGCGGCGGCGGCACTTACCGTTAGCAGATCCTTGCGCTGTATATTCTTGAGGTGCAGCGTATTGCGCACCGAGCCGTCGGGCAGCACCTGAAAGGAGTCGTCGATAAGGGCGTGCTCGCGCCACCAGGAGACGCGCGGCGGTGGCACGCCGCCACTGGACAGGCAGGTCAAGTTGATGCTGTCGCCCTCCAGATAGGGGCCAGCCGTCTGGTCGCGCACCGCGGCTCCATGATGGTCCAATATGGTCAGCTGGGTGGGCGGCACTGCAAATGGAAGTGGGAAGTGGGAAAATAATAGATTAGAAAGACAAGTGGAGAGAATAAGGAAGATAAGAATTAAGTCTTTTGGACTTGGCATTTCTACTCACCAAGGACTGTCACATTAATGCGCCAATTGCGGGTTGGTGATTTATGGAAATCAACGCGACATTTGTAGAGCCCAGCATCTGTGGTCTGGATGTTCTTGATGCGCAAAGCCGGCGGATTTGTGTCATAGTAGAAGTGGGCCTTCTTGTTGAAGACGTTCTCGTCGGCCCAGGGCACGGCCTGGTGGAGCGGACGCCCCCTCGCATCAAAGCTGTCGGTTCGACCGGAAGAAAGTTAAAAATTTCAATTATATTAACATACATTTGCATATTTCAAATGTCACCAAAGGGCTTTGGTAATGTAATTGAATTCTGTAAGTGGACTCTTGAGTTAGGCGAAAATTATTATAGATATATATATATATAAGTAGTACAGTTATATACAAAAGTATTGTAAGTAAGTTGACCCCATTGTGTATATATATATATTACCTATATATGACACTCTGAAAGTCTGTGCATCGGCACACCCCAGAGATTAGTGCACATGCCAGCCATTCACCTGGGCATCGTTTTAATGGTCATCAATCGATTTTATTTGGCAGCAATTAAGCGAGCCGAGCGAAGGAAAAATGTGTGTGGAGTGAAATGTGTGTCAAATCAGAAATTAAATGGGCATAAAAATTGCTGAAAATGCAACAAAATCCACTCGTAATCGCCGTAAAAATAGAATGTCTCATTAACTCTCTCCACCCAATCCAATCAGAACGCCCAGTCCGAACAATGGGAAAGGAAATTTAAAAAGATTTAGGGAGGAGAAAAGAAAACATTTTTTATTGTTATTGTCAAAGGTTTTTGGTTTATGGCTGTTGCTATGCATTTTGACAAGATTCCGCATGATGTGTCAACGCCTCGATAGCCACGAAGAAGCTATAGAAGCTACAGAAGCAACAACATATCGTAAATAATCCAAAGTGCAGTCGGAACTTTCGTTTTTCATTTTATTTGTATTTTTCATTAAGTTCTCTTGGTTACATTTAAATAGTTTTTCAACTTTCCATCTGTTTTCCTTTATTTTTGCCTGTTCCCCAGGCACATTAGTTGCCTCTGCTCATTCTCTGTCTGTCTGTGTGTGTGTGTGTGTGGCACTTAATTCGATGACACTTGTAAATTTTTAATTTGCTTTGTGTTTTTTGCGGCCCCAAGACCCGCCCATGGCCGCTGCTGTCGTTGTTTCCGCTCTTGGCTTTTCCCCCAAAAAACAAATGCAGGCAGCTAAAATAAATTTCGCTGTTTATGTTAATTCGTTGGCCAGCGCGCGCTGTGTTTTTAGCATTTTGTTTTTTATAGTTTGCTTCAATTAATTAATTGATCAATTCATTCCTTGTTCGTTTCTTTCCTCATTTTTTTCGTGCATTTGTTAAGCTGCTTCCATTTAAATTTTTGTATTTATTTTTTCCGAGGCATTTCATTTGCGTTGCCTTTGGCAGCATTTAAGCAGCTTTTAATAGGCATTAAAATATATTTCTCTCATGGCCCTTATCGTAAAAAACCAGCAGCATCCATTAACCATTTTTTTGTGCGGAAAAAGTAAAAGGAAATATGTCCCAAGCTCTAATTAAGTGCGTTTGTGGAAAATTGCGGGATTACAGGGCTTTCAAAAATAACATAAAATTTATAGTTACATCAAAATGTCTGTAAAAAAATGGGTATTATTTATGTATGCAGCTAGAAGTAGCTAAAGGTCAATCGATGCCCAGTTACACTTAGCTCTGGGCGCATTATTTACGATCGTCCGATATGAAAGCATTGCCCTAGATTATCGCACAGCTTGAATATATCAAGAGCTTATGCATATCAGGCTACGCAACTCGCTCTCAGCCCTCATGTCGCTGCTGCCGGTGATTTATCACAAATGCACCCAGACTCCCAGAGAAGAACAAGAAGAATAAGATGAAATACATATATATATTTCAAAAGACGACTGCAGCAGCAGTGCGAGTAAGTGCCGCATGATGGATGGTTATTTGTTAATGGATTTAAAGATAATTAAATTAGGTTCAACAGCCAAAATTGTGAGCTGCGCCCCAGCCACCCACAACAATCAGGCGCCAGCACTATGCGGCCCCATGTCCAATTTCCTAAGTACTGCAATATATGCGCCCTGTGCAGCCGAGGGGCAAAGGTCATCGATTGGGGCGAGACCAAGTGTCTGCTTGTACCTGGTGCCCCGTGCAATTGGGCAACAAACTTCTCATGTAATTAATCTTCCGACCTTCTTCTTGCCATATGGAAATTTCAATCGTGCTGTAAAAGCGTTCTCCAGCAACAACAACAACAACAACAAATATTCAACGAAAATTTATGAAGTGTAGAAAAAGCAAATTAAAATTGATTGAAAACAATAAAATGAATGCGGGCAGGCGAGAGACACAGAGAGTCGAGAGGGGGGATAACGCTTTGTTTGGTAGCAAAGATCTGTTGCAGAGGTGCGAGAGAACTGTGGATGGGCGGGCCCGTAAAGTTTATGGTGGCCATAAAAGCGGCACTCGCAACTGTAATTGCAGTCACCACAGCGAGTTTATACTGTAGAATCAATCGAACCACATGAATGCACATTTAACTTTGACACTTTGACTTGCCCATAATCGATCCCGGGCGGAGTCTGTGCCGAAGTAGAATCGGTGATGGGCTCTGCCAGCGTATGCAAAAATCAATTTCTGGTCTAGTGCGCGTCAGTCTCTGCTCTGCTCAAGCGGCGATGCCTTTACAGTTCAACCTAAAGTTTTTATTCTCTTTTTTTTTTTTTTTTTTTCAGCGACTTTCTGGTTGACTAACATCAGACGACATGTAGATACATGTGTGTATATATGTATATACTGTGTACTGTCAAGGGCCACCCAGCTGGCAGCATTTGACATACATGCCTCTGATTGCCTCGCTTGTTAAGAATCGCTTGACTGCCACATACTATGAACCTGCTGCTGCTGCCTTCGATGGCAGCTTTTGGGTCAGGAGGTGCACGTATATACGCACATGGTGGTTCGCTCTCTTTCTGGGGAAAGGTATGTAAGTAATGTTTATATCGGCGAATTCAACATAAATGCCTGACGTTAATAGAATTTATAATGAGCGCACCTAGACGCGTGTCGCGCCTTTCGTAATTGGCTCAGCGCTGTGGGTGGAGCTTGGCGGCGGCGCTTGTCATTGGAAATATCAAAATATATTCGGCACATTTTTCAGTTAACTTTATTAGAGGCGAGTGGGGGCGGCGTAGGGGGAGAGCACAGGTGCCGCTTTAATGGCATCTTATGCGAGAGATTAGAGTGCCTCATAATAAAAAGAGATTTTTAAGCGGCTTTCGACAGACTTAAGGTACGAGAGATGCCAACATTAAGAAAAGTTAATAGAGTTTTCATATTAGCGACGATAATATAATGTTATGATATAGCTTATTCCTATGCCAGATACTTACGTGTAGATGGGCTTCACATTGCCCTGGCGATACCAGATGACCAGCTGCACCTTGTCGGCGATCATTGTGCCCGGCATTAGGTCACAGGGCAGCGCCACCTCGGAGCCCACGGCCGTTAGTACCTCCGACAGAGGACCTGCAACGAGCGAGAGGAAACAAGGAGAAGGATATCAATTGGAAATATTTTCATTACAGCAAATGCAAGGCAAGCGGTTGCCACTAATTGAAATATGTGAACTTTGACATTGTGCGTGAGGCGAATGCGTGACTGTCTCTCTCTCTCTCTCGCTCACACACGCATATTGTATGGCATAACTATAAATTGACTGACAGCTTGATTTCCTTTGATGATAAGCTGGCGCTGAAAGGGTAAGCAGAGTCGAGCCGAGCTGAGCTGGTATGGAGTCATCATCATCATCAGCCATGCATCTACGACGTGGCCATGTCACCGAGCCAGCGGAGCGTGTGGCGCCTCGCAGCTAGCGGCTCGCGACGTGGTGTCGACATCGATGGCGACGCGCTGTGCGTGCCGCCCGCTGTGGAGCAGCAGCAGCAACAGCCGCTCGGCTGGCGGGCAATTAGTTGTTGCCCCTTCCCCGTCCCCCTCCCCCTCCACAGCTTGAGCTGGGTGTAGCTGAGGCCGCATTTGACAATTGTAGCGATATTGCTATTGTTGCCTTTCTTGTTGATTGGTATTTGGTATTATCAAAGCATTTGTAATTATACAAATTATATTTTCCATATTTTCAACGGGAATGGGCGTGTCGTACGTGCCTATATGTATGTCTCCATGTCTCTATGCCCTACTCCATTCTCCACCCCCCATGGGCTTATCAAAGTTTTTTATTCCAGTGAACTCGACTGTGTAAATAGTTTTTCATTTTGCTATTTGCTTTGCTGTTAAGCTCTTAAATTTATTAATCAATACTTATCAATTGGATTCGATTGGATTATCGAAATCGACTTTTCCCGCCTCTCGCCGTTAATGCAATTTCATTAATTTAATGCATTTTTATTTCTCCTAATTGACACCATATTCAATATATGTATGTCTATATATATATGTATATTACTGTTAACTCTGCAGCTCCGCCTTCCCCACGCAGAAAGTAAACTAAGCAACTATTGTATCCATGGCTGATTAATTGTCATCATAAGCGACGAGCGCCAAGCGCCACACGCTTTGCATATATAATCGAATGGATATGCCAAAGGGAGTAAGGTGGGCGGGGCGGCGGATTATTATTAGCTAATGAATATTCGTGCMCAGAATGGAATGTTGTGGCATGCATTGTTGCGGCTACTCAAATACGCTGAATTTCGGTTGGGGCATTGTGAATGAACGGAGAGCTTCAAGTAAAAATTAAACAACAAAAAATAAGTAAATGAAAATTATATACAGCTGAGAGACCTGTTCGTCCAAGAATACAACCGTTTTGGGTTGGCCTAAACTGGGACGAGTTTATTTCTATCGATTCGATTCGGGTTGATGAAATGCGAGCGGAACCATTCGCCCTTCCGTTTCCAGCAGCTGTTTCACATTTATTCAAAGCTCCATTTGGGGCGCCATTACCGGAACATGAGAAATGGGCATGGCCATTAGTTATGCCCATGGACGAATCGAGAGAGATGAGTCAAATCAGTGTAACAAATCGAAGCCCTATATATCTATCTATCTGTACACATATGTATATACAGATATAGGAAAACCTACTTAACCAAATGCGCCAAGGGCTGGAGGCGCCAAAAATATGACCGCAATTGGTATCCGAACGAATGATTTAATTCATCGAGGGCAAATGCAATTTGTTTGGCTCCACAACTGGGCGGGAATGGGGTCAGCAGATCAAAGCGATAAATGAGTTACGGATGAAGACGGGTCAGCCATCTGCATAAGTTGCGCCAAGCTCCAAGCTGAGTGCGTCAATAGCTAATTGCGACTGCGATGGGAGAACAAATGTTCACACACCATTCAAGCACGCAATTCCCGAATTCGAATCGAATCCAAATTGATTCGAAATGGGCATTTGAATGATCTGTTGCAAGCTTTTGCAATTGTCATTTGTCGGCTAGGTCAGCTGATCCATTCTGACGGAAATTAGGGGACCACCCGCTCACTCCCCTACGCCCATACACCCCACACGCAAAAGATTTATTGTCACACGCTCTGAATTTGACGCATTGATTGAATGAATGAATTGGTTTCGCCTSAAAGTGCATTTCAATGTTGTGTCGCATCGTAAATGGATTCATTGTAAATCCGCTGCGATCTGGCACTAGTCCAGGCCCTGGGTTTATTATTTATCTAGTCAACAATATTCTGACAAATTTGCCGGCATCCGCCATTCACGGCATGGCCCCCCATTCCGTGCGGCGCGCCTCGCTGACGGACACTCGGCTGTTAATGGTGCATACAACAAATTTCTTGCATGATGTATTCTATAATTAAGCAACAACATGGATCGCACAGGCCCCGTCTCTGTCTGTGGGGCCGGAAAAGTCGCTCGGCCCGATGTTGTCGCCTCATAATTGTGCCACTTAATGTGGGCGTCAACATGATGCGACCAACTTCTTCTACTCAATTGCCTCGCTTCGTTCGGGGCATTTACAGAGTTGCTTTCGTGTATGAAAAGAGAAGAGGAAGGGGAAGAGGAAAAACATAAACAATATTCTACACACAACCTAATGTGAGGGCGGAGTTCAAACAATTTCATATTCCAGAAACTTAATTTATGAACTTTGAACATTAATATGCATGTCGATTGCAACAAATTCGTGGAACTCTCTCATAGAATCTGTCGATATTTTTATTGAATATATATATGTATATAGAATTAGATTTTTTTCCTGCTACCCGTTACACAATGCCCAAAATAAGAAAACAGCCAGGTGTTTGATCTTTGCTTCTAAACAATCAATGCTAAGTGCAGGCCAATTAATCAGTCAATCGCCCAATCAGTCATTCAGTCAATCGCAACGCTTGCCACCGCGTAAACGAGCATTTTATTTATTTATTTACGCCTGCAGCTCGAAATTGAAATGAAAATATTTTGACATTCGGCTGCATGTGGCGAGAAAGCTGAAAGAGAACTAAAACTCTATTGTACAGCACGGGGTAATTATTTAGCTCATTTGTTGCTTTTCGCCCACGGGGGCCCCGCTGCAAATGGAATATGGGAAATAGAAAATGGGAAATGAAAAAGCAGAGACTGCCCTCGAGAGCTTTTCGTCGCATTCATAAATAAGCAACAACAACAACTTGGCGCCTCTCGTAAAACAAACAGCAGCAGCGATCCAAACAGATCACCAAATAAATCAAACAGAATGTTTATTTCTTAAAAAAACGGGAAAAGGAAATCTATGAAGAGATACAGGAGTCGGGAAGTAGTTCATGAAATATCTGCTTAGCTTAAAAAGTTGATTAAGAGCACTGAGAGATGGAAATGAAATGTGCAGAAGATTGATGAATAAGACTTAGAAGAGAATTCATGCAAGTCGCAAGCGAGTCAGCTATGTCCCATTCCCTCGTGCTGTTAACCTTTCCTAGACCTAATTATGCCCATATGCCCAAGCGCTTACAGCGCCTAAGCTGGACATTAAATAAATATCATTTATTCATTGAGCCATGGCCAAGAGATTTTCTATTGTTTTAGAGCTGCATGTCCGTAAAATTGACTCGGGCTGGCGACAAATTGGCAATGACTCAAGTAAAAGCCGCCAACGATTCAATAGGCGCCACTTGCCAACAACAACAACAACAACAGCAACAGCTACAACAAAGACTTTGATTTTTTTCTGTATTGCCATATAGTCAAACAACAGCAACAATTGCAACAACAACAACAACAGTTGCTACTCTGCACGTGACCATTGACAATTTGCGATTCAAGTTGTTGGCCATTTATGACCCGCTTTGACTCCGTTCAGCCCCCCGCCTCCTCCTCGCCCACAGCCAACTGGGCGTATTCTCTCTGTTCTTTTTTCGTTTTGTATTTTATTTTGTTGCCGTTTATTTGAGTTTGGGCCAAATGGCGCACACTGTCAAGAAGTTTACTCGTTGTCGTCGATTTGAGCTTTAATATTTCCTGCAGGCGCATTTGGCGACTCTTAGGGTCTGGGCCCCAACATCAAAGCGCTGGCGGATGTTCCAATTGCTCCGGCAGCCCATTCACTGCTTGCTGGAGCCGACGAGGCCCGAGAGTCGTAATACGATTCCGATTGCCTACGGCCGAATGCCGCTCCAGTGACAATCTCACCTAAATTAACTCCAAAATTAGACAAGTACTTTGATTGCTAGCCATAAGAGATTTTCTGCAGTTCTGCAGTTCCCAGAAAATATCTGAAATGCCCATAAAGCGCCCTTTCTTATTTGCCGGCAAAAGGAAGTTATAAAATATGGAAAATATATACGCATTAACGTGCGAGTGTGTGCGTGCGTGTGTGTGTGCCAGGGACACTTGATTGGATTTTCATTAGATTGGATTATTATGCAGAAGAGTACCATTTGGTGCGTTTATCAAAGCGTAAGTCCGGCCAATAACAAAGCTTATGCTTGCCATGGCGAAAATTAAATAAAGATTGGGTCAAAGGTTGCTCGCCTCCGGCTTGACCCAGGCGACTGCATTATTATAATAAATTTGGAACATTTTCAACTTTGAACAATTGCGTTTCATGTGTGTCTCATGAATATTAATTTATGTTCAGCTATATATGTATATATAATGGTCTATAAATTCATAACAAGCTGCACTCGGCCCTAATCTATACTCGAAAATCTTGTGCAAGCGCAGCAAAGCTAATTTTATGATGGATTACCTGAGGCAAGGGTGGACGAGCAATCCTAACTCTAGCACCGACGGCTTCACCGGTTCCATCGTGCTGCAGCTATCGCGTTCGCTTTGCTGTCCATCAAATGCAACGCAGCATGAGGCTCGCCACGCTTATCACACACGCACGGCGTAGCTGCGGCCCCTCTCCGCCTCTTTGCGCTAATAGAAACCTCAAAAGGCATTTTCCTTTGTTGACATTTGTAAAATGCAAACAGAACACGCAGAGGCGACTACATAGATAACCGAGCGCGGGCAACGGGCAACGGGCAACGGGCAATGGACTAGAGCGAAGGTCTCGATGGTCTCG